ATCAAGTTTTGGAGCAATATTTGAGATATACTATAAATTATCAATAATATGATTGGAAATTTTTTTGCCATTGACAAAGTATGCTTATAATAACACAATATATTCTTGTATTCAATAAACACCATTTTTTATTAATTATGATTATCATTCATGATTTGATGCTTTTGACTTTTTAAAATTTGATAATGTTGTGGCAAAAGATTTAGCAAATCATTTATTTGAGCTATATACAATAATGAAGGCTCATCTAAAAGAAGCTCAAAAATTACAAAAAATCAATATAGATGCTTATTGTAAAGAACAACCTCAATTCTTTGTTGGCAATAAGTTATGATTACTTTGGCATAATATCAAGACTATTTGTCCTTGTCACAAGTTGAATCACCGTAGGCTTAGGCCATTTCTTGTATATAAATAATTAATCCAGTTGTTTTTCAATTACATCTAGTAGAGTCTATAAAGATCCATTATATGTTTTATATGTCTTTTGTTGAGCCATATAAAAAAATGAATATCTTGAGAAGAAGACAAATGCAACTGCCTCCTATAGAAGTGGATAATAATTAAAAATTTAAAATAGAAGAAGTCTTAGACTCAAAGCGAGGCCAAAATAGGTTAAAATATCTTGTTCATTAGCACATATAGAATATTAATGAATGCTTATAAGAGCCAAAGAATAAGCTTGCAAATGCAACAAAAAATGTTTAAAATTTTGATCAATAATATTCATTAAAATTAAAATGAAGAATCAAGAAATTTCTTACTATAAAATCAAGAATATTCAATGAAGATTGCATTCTATCTTCTATCCTTCATTTTAAGTTCTTTGTATTTTATGATGCTGATAAAATAAAGAATTTACAATTGGCAGATTCAACTCAAAATCCATCATTTGCTAATTTATTAGACAAGACATTGTAATTGTCACTACTTTTAAGACAACAAAATTGAGATGAAGATTTTCAAAAATGACATGTTCTTCATTAAATAGATGGTAAGATATAATGTATTTGGTATTAAGACTTTGTAAAAAATTCTTGATATTTGATGATTTTATTGGAGGTAGAAATGACTCTTCATGATTTTATAAATATTTTAGTTGAAGGAAGTTATGAAGGCCTCAACAATAACCAAATAATAGGATGATTTTCTTGCCTTGGAATGAGACATTATCAATGGTTGAGAGGACTTATTAACTACTTTTAAAGAAAACAAAGATCACAATATGTGGCAAATATAATTTATTATATTGTGGACTTCCTCAACATATGATGATTGCTCCTTATGGAACTTATTTCTAGAAAGAAGGATAATATCGTGAAAATATATATTTATTTTAATAATTATTTAGATAATATAAATAGAAAGAAGTAAAAAAAAATACATCAATTTTATAATATCTTTTAGAGAAGCTTCATAGAAGCTTTATAGATGAGATTTTACTTTCATACATATCTATAGGTGATTGGTAGGTTAAAAACTTGGTCAACAAATTAGTCACATATTGCATGTATTAGTAGCTTGTAATATAAACTAACAATATAAAAAACTTATCTTATAAGTTAAGACATGTGTCTTACAAATTGGACATATATTAGAAATCCTATAGAATATCATTACATAGCTCTTAGGTAGATAGTATATATAAAAGCAAGAATAAAGTCTTCTTTACTCTTGTCAATTCCTTTCTTAGTTCTAGTCTAGTTTCAAGAGTGTCTAATTTTCTTGTCTTTTGGCAATAGCCATTCTAGTTTCTATTTAGTATACATATATTTTTTATTTTTATTTTGTCATTTTTATTTAAGAAAAATCTCACTAGTTTATTTGCTTTCATTAAGTTTTTTTTCCTTGATATATAGATGGTTGTCTTTTATCTTCTAGAGATATTACTAATGAAACTATGACTAAAAAATTATCAATAAATGGTCTAAATAATTTAGTAATTTTTAATAATATTAGTTTTCTTTCTAATTTATTTTTTTTAGGCTTATTATAACTAAAAAAATATAATATTTAGATAAATTAAATTTCTTGAAATTTGAATATTTTTCATAGCTTAACTAAGACTTTTGCCAATCAAGTATAAAGTCATAAGTCTATTATAACCAAATCTTTATTTATAGGTGCAAGAGCTTTTATGCATGTTGTAAAAAAAAGATCATTTTTTGTTACTAATGCCACATATATTTCTTATGGTCAAAATATTTTAAGCAATACTTAAAGCTTATATAAAGATTATCAAGATATTATTTAGAAGAAAAATACAAATTTTCTTTTAAGGCATTATTTTTATGTTTGCTTAATTGTTCTTTAATAATGGACTCGATTCCATTTGAACCAAGAAATAGCTTATTACAAAATGATTTGGCTTTACTCAAGAAATATAATATTGATAATTTGGTCAAAAAAATCATATGTCATTTAAAATTTCAAAAAATAATCTTTATCTTATTTGTGAAGAAAAAAAATAATTTTATATTGTAATACAACTATTAAGTATTAATGTTTATATATATATATATATATATATATCAAAAAATATCTTATTATAAAATATAATAAAAAATATTTTAAAATCTTAAAAAATAGATAAAGAAGTAATAAAAATAATATTTATTAATATTTATTTTTATAAAAATAGTTTCTAATTACTTTATAGAATTATAAATAAGAAAAATAAAATAGATTAAAATAATTATATTATAAGTATTTTTAGGTTAAAATAAAGAATAGCAATTAGTAAAAAATTATGTAGATAAATCTTAGATTACTATTCTATAGATAAAAGTCTTAAAATTTAGATTTTAAAGGTCAATGTGAGTTTGTTAGATTTTAAGCAAAATAAAAAGTAAAAAACTTCTTTGATGCAAATTTGACTTTACTAGTATTTGTAGGTGATTGATAGGTTGAAAACTTAGACAACAAGTTGGTCGTGTATTGCACATGTTGACTATTCATTTTACAAATTGGCCACACGTTGCACATATTGGCTACTTGTCATACAAATTAGTCATTTAGGAAACTTGCGTTATAAGTTAGATATATATCTTGCAAATTGAGCATGTGTTGAATGTCCTACAAAATGTTACAACATAACTCTTGAAGTAGGCAACATATATAGAGGCAAGAGTAAGGCCTTCTTCATTCTTATTAATATTTTTCTTATATTTTTGTCTTAGCTTAAATATCTTTAGTATCTTTATATTGAAAAACAGTCATTCTAATTTCTATCTTACATATTTTTTTTATTTGTCTAATTTTTCTTTTTGAATGTCATAATCGAGTATTTCTTCTTTGTATTTTTGTTATAATTTACAAACATAATAACTACACTATATTTTGGTAAAATTATTCTAAAATTCATAATTTATAGATAAATATTATTTATTTGATTTTTATCTATATATTGGAATTTAGACATAGTATTCTAATTAAGTCCAATAAATCTCTAGCTTCAAAGATATTAAGTATTAAAAGGATACTTATTTGCAAGTTTGTTTTAAGTTTCCAAATAAAAGAATACAATTTTAAAATTATGATAAATGTAAAAAATAAGATCTTTTTGTTCTAAACAATCTAATTAGAATCTAAGAATTAATATATATAATGACTTTATCATTGTAATTATTATTTTGTAAGTTATTTGCTTTAAATTTATCTTTAGTCTTGTAATTTAAGTGAGTATGTTAAAAGATTTTAGATCCATCCAAATAAATATATTTAATGAATATCTATTATAGAAAATCATCATTATGAGATAGAAGCCTAAGAATATTTTTTTATCCAACTCATTATGTCTTATCTCTATCATAACTTTGCATAATTACTAAAAAAAATCTTATTAATAGCATTTTTATATGTATCTATTATTTTGAATTTAAATCATAATCTTGATGTAAGAATCTAATAAAATAACCTTTAATAAATATTAAACTTGATACTATACAAATGGCAACAACAAAAAATGACAATATTGACTTTGAATTTGATTTTACTGAAATTAATCACTAATAAGCCTTGTACATCAAAAAAATTAAAAATAATAATTTAAATTCTAATTATAAGATGTAATTTATATAATTAGAAATAACAACAATAATAGTAATAGTAGTAAAAAATTAATATGTAAAAACACATATTTATAAAAATACCAAAAGATGTTATTTCAACCATAAATAGATCAATTTGTAAATTATGGTTTTTGTGTTTTTATTTAATATATTTTCAACTAACGATGTTTAATTTTTTCTAAATATATAAATGTTTATTTATTTAGTTATAAGATAATTTTTTAATTAGATAATTAAACTAAGTTGTTAATCTACATTTTCTACAAACTATTGCTACCAATTATGAGAGAGAAAAGAATAATAATAATAAAGTTATACTGATTAGAAATATATCATGTAAGACAAATAATTAATTTTAAACAAGAATAATCAACAACTTAAAAACTTATTAATGTTTGATAAGAAAAAAAATAGTTTTTTTTTATGATATCTCAAAAGTCCCAAATAAAGAACAAAAAATCTACAAGCAAACGATCTAAAACTTAATAAATAACACCGGACAATGACAACGCATACAGCCCGCGGGTGAGAGATGGCCCAGTTTTGTTCTGTTTCTGTTTATTTTCATTTTAAGAATCCAATTAAGACGGAAATGGGACAGTGCCGGCGGGTGGCAGCTGCAGCGAGGGTTGACCTCTTCCTTGACTGCACCAGCCTGCGTGGCAGGATGCCTCCGGGTGGGGAAGACGACGACGACGACGATGATGCTGGCATTGATTCCCATGTTTCATGGATATAATTCCTGGCCAGCCGCGTGCCGCCCCTAGACACAGCACTTTCTCACTCTCACACAATCCCACACAACAGTCAGGCTTGAGTTGCGAACCCGTAATTAGACAAGTAGAGTTTCGCACCCCGAAGCATTGTGAGATGATGAAGCTGGCGCAAAGGGATCAGGGCAATGGAAGATGCATCCCCTGCCTGGATTGGTTAGCAAGGGAAATGGTAAAATTAGTCGAGTATGCAGACACAATTGGCAGCACAAAAAGTCTTGATGCCACCAAATCTTCTAGAAGAACTATCCAATCCAATGTTGTTTTTGTCTGATTAAGCAGACATTTCAAATGAAACAAACCAAATATCCACCTAAGACATAGTAGAAGCTGCAAACACTGTAACTTCTAAGCAATTGAAATTTACAATTTATCTATGCATAAATGCCCCAAAAGGTTCGCTACAAAAAAATAATAATAATAATAATAATAATATAACACAAGTAAAAACTTTGACTGTTCTAAAAGTTTCCTTAATCAACACACTGAATTGTGAGGTTAGTAGAGTCTTCAATTTGGTGAGTCAGTTGAAGAAATCCAAATATGCTCTTTTCCAATGTGTACACGACCCTGACATCCGAGATATGGTAGTGAACTACTGCGAGGGGGAGGAGGCAGCGTCAAACATCCTTACACACGCAACTTGGAGTTGGATGTATAACTCATAGAGCATGAAAAGCTCGTAACCTTGACAGGGTCACTGCATTTACTCCGGGCTTATAAATCAGTAACGTGAGGCGTCTAAATGTGCCAGCACTAAGTTAGACATCAGCCCACATGCCATTAAAGAATTCATCCAAAACAGCAGCTCCTGATGACTCATATAGCATCACCCTCTTTCTGAAAGCACGCAATGACCGCTTCTCCGCTGGGGAAGAGCTCTGCAAAACCATCATTGCGAGTAAGAAGTTGCGAACCTTACTATCCAATGTTCAACCTGATGAGAATGTAGAATAACAACAGTAAAATCAACTCCAACAACCAATTTGTTTTTCGGAGAGACAACTGCAAAAACTGAGAATGCGACCAGGTGAGAAATCGTACGAAAGTCTTTTTGGTAAGAAGAATATCCGCTACATAGTGAATCCAGAGACAATTCGTCTGAAGAAACCTGTACCAACCAAATCAAGGAGTTACAACTTCGAAGGAGGAAATGTCCTATGTCCTGTAAACAGCTACTTACTAGACATGTTCCAATTGTACCTGTGTACATCAAATATTAGTAGTTCACAGCAGTGGACTTACCGCTGCTCCCATTGGCCGCCAGTTACCTTCTTCATTCTTCGATATGTATTAGCCTGCAGCAATATCAGGATTATGTTGGTTTACCCCCGCCTTGAATCGCATGAAGAGAAAACTTGATCCTGCTTTTAGCAAGCAAGTTGAATAACTAAAACATCATAACCAAGAACGAGGAACTCTGGACTGACGTCAAAGCGAGTGGCTGGCAAAAGAGTCCAGCTGCCCACCTGCACATCGTTCTTGGGGCCCTCAAATAAAGCCGGATCTGCAGCTAAGTTACAGAACAGAACTTGATTTCCTGTTCCAAGACAAACAGTTCAGCCCGCTCATTCAGCATAGAGATTGTTTCAAATGCTTTCGAGTTGTTGCAACGGCTTACAAACTCATGAGACGCCCAAATGCGGCTTTAATGTTCAAGAGCAATCCAAATCAACAAAACTGTACCTGTATTGATTCGGGAGAGCGTGAAGTCGATGAGGGACACAGACAGGCCATATGTTTTCACTTGCTTCTCTTGGCCAAGCAATCGAAAGACTACATGTTCACGTTGATCCCTTGACAGCACTATGTTGCCCCTATAGACCGACACAAGTTTATGACATCAATAATATGTTCTGTCAGGATAGCATATTGTCGTTAAGTCCAATGCGAGTCCTTGCTAAGAACTGCTCAATAGAGATTTCAAAAGAACCTGTGCAAGTTAGCCGTCATTCAACTACTAATGCTATTCTAGTGCCCGGCTTCATCTCACAAAATTGGCATGACAGGGATTCTTACTTCTCTCCAGCATTCTTAAGTAGTAAAAAACATCATCGTATTCAAGAATGAAGTCACGTGTGAGCGCAGAAATGATACCAGTGAAGATCCCGGTGCTCAAATTCGCAAGCCTCCTCTGCTACTGCGAGTGCTAATACAATCTATGCATACAATTCCGGTTTGGTATCAATCGACTTTTGAGCTAAGAAAAATTCTGATTTCCTTCGGAGAGGTTAAGGACAGGGTTTTAATGAGAGATTTCACAACCATCACAAAACCAAGGACTAAGTAATCAGGAAGCTTGCAAATCAATGGCAAGTCCGATATCGACATCCGAACAATGCTGCAATGTTTTTACGACCAACCGTAAGAGGATTACAATTTATTGCAGTGTGATGAGAGAGGCGATTCAAAATCTTCATACGGCTTTAAAAAGATAGAAGAGCAGTTAGCGGCGGCTTACCTGGAGTAAGAGACTCCGTGCTTCATTGAAATTCTCCAAAGAAAAACTCTCGAGATCCCTGCCTCCATCTGTCAGGAAAAATACCACATACAACTGGAAACCAGACCTTTGTTAGTTGGCGTACTCAGAACTACACAACTCTTGCTCATTCTCCGAACACGGAGAAGATTCTGATACGCTCTAATTGCACTGTGTACGTGTTTTTGAACAGTAATCCAAGATTTCACAGTAGTATGATGAAAGGGGTAGGAAAAGTGACCTGCTGATTGGGGAAGATAGAGGGATGATCATTTTCAGACGTATTGAGGGAATCCCATTCCTCCCAAGCCCTGACGAGCTCAGGGTCATAGCAGCCCTGGCAGATTCGCGTGCTGCCATAACCTCATTTCAGTGAGCATTCCCGTGTTGAGGTTTTCAAAGATTGGTATTTTTTACATGAAGGCATTTGGATGAGCTTAACGAATTTGCTAAAACGCATAACCAGATATAATTTACTGCAGTGCTCAGTTTATGCATTGTGTACAATTGCTCCCCTCCTCTTAACATTGAAAAATTGAAGACAATTTGGCAAATTCTCTTTGAAGAATTCAGAGACTCACGAGGTTGAAGACCACTTTCAAAACAGCAGCAAACCCTTCTCGCAGAAAATCACAGATTAAACCAGTTATAACCTATTATAGTCAAGAGTTTAGATGCATACGCTTTGGTCTCAACGAATGTGCTGCAAATATTGGGTTCATTCCTCATTGGCCCACCCCGCAATTCGTTTAAAGCGTTGGACAAAACCACCTCGCTCAGCATTTCCGCAGAAGTCTGCAACCAGCAGGCACGGAACTTGTGTCCAGAATCTTAAATGTCGCCTTTGCTGGACGATGGAGTTCATATTCAAATAATTATTCGAGGACTATATGCATCAAGAAACAAATTACACCTTAGTGCAGTAAACTAAATATGAGTTTTCGGGATTTGTACCTTTTGTGCCTCACCATTAACTTGAAATTTCCCATCCATTGGCACTATCTTAAAAACACTACTACCCCCTTTAAAGGCTTCTCCAAATGTTCCCTCTCCTAATTTCTTAATTTGCCGTAAATCGCTGTTATACAAAAATGAGGGTAAGACAACTCCGAGAACGGAAACAACTTTGCTTTATGACAGCCATTGCAACTATCTGATTATATAGACGAAGAACAAGGAGTGCTCTGCCATTTAATCTCATGCAACCACGATAAACTTCGAAAGTTCAGCGTAAATTCTCTTCACCTAGCTTCCATTCAATGAAACAAGAAGTGTTCAAATGCATTGGATGCCTCGTACATCTTGAACCGATCAAGTACTAGGAGGCAAGAAGAAAACTAAGACACATCAGGAAGTGATTAGGAGATTATTACCAGAAACCCGAAAGTGCTTCACCCAATGTCAGGATCTCCGTTTGACGACATTCTTGTACGAGAACCTCAAACACTGATAGAAAGGTATCTGCTTCCAACTGTTCTACAGCCTTTTCCGCAATGTCTTCTTCCAATGATGCATTAAGCCCATCTCCAGTCTGTGAGCCATCAGGTCTGTCCAACTGCTCTTCATTTTCGTCTTCATCCTCCTCAGGTACTGGAGTACAATGACTCATCTTACGGAATATACAGTGACCTATTCCTTCCCTCTCCTCCTCAGCCTCCTCGGGTACTAGAGTGCGAAAGCTCTTGCTGAACATGCTGTGACTTTCCTCTTCCCTAATATGCAAGGCCTCCAATCGATTGAGGAGGGACGCAGTTTCCATATCAAGGCTGGAATTCTTCCGAGTTCCCACAGGAGTTGGGATCTCCTGATCAATGCTGCTTATGCTTCTGCTGTTTCGTCCTTGGCTAATAGAATCCACAGAAGATTTGCTGCTTCGTCGTCTCATCTGTTGGTCCCATGACACTTCTGGAGATGGCAGAGCCAGTTGATTTTCTTCGTCGTTGCTGATCCAAGAACTATCCGATAAACGGAGAGAGTTCTCTTTAAGGCTGACAAAGTCTGCAGAACTCCTACTGCTGCGTAGTTGAATGGATTTATCTCTGAGTGTTTGTGGTGAAGAAATATCTTCATCTTGACCGTCGTTGATGCCAGAATCAGTATGTAACCAGAATGAATTTTGTGCTGGAATACTTTGTTCAGTAAACGAAGATAGAGGACGAGAGACATCGTACTTTCTGGAATCCGCTTTACCAAAAGGTCGGCCTGGAGTCCGTAGAGCAGCACTTAATAGTTCACTGTCAGAGAGAGTTGGATGACGAAATGCTTCATCAAAGCTGTAAGCTCGCATTTGGGATTTTGCGAAATCTAAACTATCCCGCACTGGTGGCTGCTTCTTGGGAGTCGGACTGAAACCAGCCTCTTTTTCATCTAAGTCAAAAGCATCAACATCTGCAAAAATCGCTCGCTGTTCTTTCACGTATGAAGATGGAACTCCAGCCCAAGTCCTCCTGGTTTTCTATTCCACAGAGCAACTGCTCCTATCAAAGATCTTCTATTGTACAACAGGCACGCGATTGACGAGTCTTCAAGACTTCAAGGCTTACACTTGAACAAGGCACAGATTCCTCTAAATAAGCATCAACCGCTCACAGCAGCAGAATCAGCTAACAGCATAAGACTTCAGAATAGGTAATAACTAGGTCCTATTTCGTAACTAAGCAGAAACTGCAACAACTCATGAAAAGTTACATCTCATTCGTGTCTTAATGCAAAAGGACATCAAATGAACCTTACCGACGCCAAATTGCCTGGGTTGCTCTTGAGAAGTATATTTGAAGGATTGCCGTAGATATTGCTCGCAAGAGAGCCCAAAGGCTGCCGGTGAGTAGGCATTAGGCTACTTCGTCTTCCTCTGCAATCACAGACATGGTGAGATAGGACACATTTTCGGATACAGCGATGCATTCTTATGCCTCTTGGCAATAAATACTCATAGGTTGTAGGCTACCAGCGGAAGGAAAATCAACCATAAACTACCTGAATGAGAGGGATCGATGGAGCCAACTATCTTTCCTTCCTTTAATTTTCCTTCCTAGGATATCCCTGCTTTTGGCCCTGCAAATGCCAACACGTGACAAAGTATGTCAGACGGTTTTCACGAAATCCGACTTGCTTCAGGTAGTATACCTATTCCTTTAGCTTCTTGTCCATTCCGATGCGCTTAAGCAAGCAAAAGATAGTACGCATGAAATACTTCATTACACTCATCGCTTAGCAAGCGGGTAGATTTTAGGACCTTGAGAGACTGTACCTCAGAGACTGTGATCATCCTTACAAGGTACAAAAGGGCAGCTCGTAGACATTAGATGAAGAATGACATACCCTTCATCTCTGAAAACAAATATTCCACTTTCTTTGCCGGTAGTGGTTCCCAAACCGATACTCGAGCGATCAGGATGTTGGGGTTCGGCCTTTTTCGGACGGCGTTTGTAAACAGCAGTAACTTTCTTTGGTTCCATGCTGAAGATATCATCTGCACAAAGTCACATTTGATGAGAAGGTCAACGAGGCTGCCCATATGGCCAGCTAGTAAACAAGGAAACATATTAACGAAAAACTATCACATTGCTAAGAGTGCTGGATGACAAGAATTATGTCCCAGCATTGAGAAACCAAATACAATAAACAGGACACAATAACACGCATAGGCACTGTTACTGAGGCTTTTACTAACAACATGCCTGTCTCCGTTCAATTCGTTAATGCACACCTATCCCCTATAGTCTGTCGCTAGCAAGGTCGATGATGTGAGCAACTTACGAAAAAAGGAAGATTCCGCAGCCTCAGCATGCTCTGCCATCATTTCCCGCTTCAACTTGATAGAAATGTCTCAATACACAAATCTGTTCACATAAAATGCTTGAGAGAAGGGAAAACCTCAGAGCTCTTTTTACCAGGACCACGATTTCTAAAAGAACCGGCGCATTAAAATCTGAGTGCAGAAATTTTCCTTCGTTAAATTCTGACGCAAGCGCAACGCATTATCATCGGCATGGTGGATTGAATCATTTACACTGCAGAAAATGAAGCGGAAATTGGAGCCTGAATGAACCACCTCAACACAAGAGGAGCTCCAACAAGAGAAAGAACTTTCACAGGTGGCGACATCCAAACAAGTAGCCAATTCAATCCGAAATTCCCAAACAAAAACCTATGCAGAAACTTAGTAGTCAAAATTACCAATCAAAAAACTGTGGAAACTAGTCTGCATTTTGAAACACTTATTTACAATCGCTCATCAAACCCGAAACGTGAAAAATAGCGAAAATAAAATAAAATAACACAACACGAAACTCGACCCGCAGAATTGTCGGACTTACACAATCATACTAAGAGCTGGAGATGCTCCATTTGCTGCGGACGGTCTTAACGACCGCAAATATGAAATTCAATTACGAGTGCAAGTCCAGACGAAAACAATGGACATCGACCGAAGAAACACTCTCAATGGATCGATCGATCGGCACGATAGACGTTGTGCTCGATCCCTCATTCACCAGCTTCCCGCGCTACCTTGAACTGTTTGAATTCCTTTCTGATAGCGAGCGGGGATGAAAGTCTCTGTGCGTCCAACTTGTTGCGTTGGCACACACTGTTCATCCATTTGGATGCAATATCTCGTGGATGGTACTCATCTGCAACGATATAGTGAAACTACACTTCACGATCGTTATGAAAGTCACTTTAAGATCTCACTTCTTATAATATGTGTGAAGATGATCATGAATTTTTTAAGCAGCACACGTTGGAATTTCCACGCTTAAAATTTTATTCTACCGAAATTTTCTGGCTACTAAGAGTTCACAATGTATGGCATTCAGTTTATATTTGTTAAAATTGTTCATGTTGCACATGTTTTATTATGCATCTTATAAGAATTCTTAAATTTTTAATATTAGAAAACAATTAAAACAAATGAAAGTAAAGAAAAACGCATTTAAATGGATTCAACCGTGACGGATCTTGGTTTTTGTTTTTTGCAGATTGAACTATTGACATTATTGTCTGATGCATAAAAATGATCAATCACATTGGCTGTAATGAAGGAAGCTCAATCAATCAGCATGCTAGTATAAATTTAATACCTGAAGATGATGATATTTGTGTTCCCTCTAGGCAAATTTTCTATTATGAATCTGGATATATTGAAACAGATCATTCATCTGTTTATAAACACTGATGTTCAAAGCACAATCGTTTAACTGCCATTAATGTCCATATCTATATATATATACATATACTAGACCCACAATGTCATGGAATGTTAATGAGAAAAAGAACAGATATACGAACAAAGTAAATATATTACTTTTAAAAATAGATTCTCTTGTGCTTGTTAATTTATAAATTAAGGAAAATCAAATTATGAAACAATTCAAATTGAACTTCAAAACATGATGATCTACAAAGATCAGAGAAAGAATTAAGCATTGTAAAAAGCATATTTGAAATCATTTAAACCAACTGTCAAAATTAATATATTAATTACTATGTTTCATCATTGGAAACTGTCTAAAATTGATTTAAACATGCTAAATACTTGATTGTATAATTATTATTTTATTTTTTTTTGAAAACTAGCTCAAGTCAACTTATTTTATCTTAAAATCACGCTCTCAATATATATATATATATATATATATATATGTACATAAGCAAGCAAGACTTGTTTGATGACCATCATCCTGTTAATGTACACTTTTTGAAATAATGTGTCCAATTGTGTTTTAAATACATGATAGTCATTGTTTTCAAGATTATAATTTGCTGTTCAACTGTGAATTTCTTTTTCAGTTTTTAGAATATAAACACAAATGTACAACTATTTCACTTGTGGCTTCAAATCTATGTATCAGTTTCAGCTCAAAAATCCTGCAGGTGACCATTTTCATTCTGTTTAGCTTAAAGTTTGTAGCTGATGTCACTAATTCACCCTCTTTTTAGTTTTGGAATGATGTTTAACCCATCCTAGCTATATAGATTCTATAAAGTTATTATCAATCCAATTAAAAACACATTCATGACTAAAATTGAAGACTCAATGCATTGTATGAAACTGGGTGTGTGTTTATGTATATGTCTGTATTCATATATATATATATATATATATATCCTGCAACTTATAGTCTCTATATAGTGTGTAGTCTACAAAATAACAGTGATTTATTCTTTCACCTTGGTATTAATGAATATGAATTTAGATTTGCCACTGTTTAACTTTTGTACTCTAATTTTTTATTGCACAAGTTAAGAAATAAAAATCAAAGTAATACAGCATATTAATGAGTTATATGAATTTTAAGGAAATTTTTTCTACACGTGATATTCTTTTCATTTTTTCACTGTAAATGATTCAATAATCATATTTTTGTAAACTTAACCTTAAAAATATGTATGAATTATTTGCATCTTTTTGGATTGTAACCAGATATATATGTATATTTACATGGAAATTTACATTTTTAAGAATATTTTTCATTTTTATATTTTACATATACATGCTTTCAGATTAAAATTTGCTTAGCTTGATAGTAATACTAAAAAAATGCATTTTTTTAGCTAATATGATTTTATTAATATGTATTATGAATGGCCTGTTATCATCATCTTAAATTCAAATAGACAAATAACAATTGAATGATAAGAGATATTTTAAATTCTCTCTTAAATCCATGAGTTGGATGTGGAAGAAGGATGAACATGAAATCATTCATTCGTGGAATATTTCCTGCACAGGAATTCGTCGGCGTGGGGTTGCTGCTCGCAAAACCCTAAGAGAAGATTGGACAGACAGACAGAAGCGGTACCCCAAATCTTGCTTTGTCGCGAGCAAGACATCCGACCTCTCGATTGATTGTCAGCGAAATCGAAGCTTCTTATTCATCTTTGCCTTATTCTTCACAGACGTCACTGCACGAGAAACATAACTCGAATTGCATTCCTTCTGTATTTGCAACGGTTACATTGCTGGGAAATTTCAGTGGAAAGCTGTATTTCAAGGAGTAGGAGTTGCAAGGAACGAGAGAGCTCCAGGGTAGAAGATTAGGGCAAGGGAGTCGGAACTAGTGCGGGGTTGTGTACGGAGCTTTGGCATAGTGACACGAGCTGGTTTCGAAACAGGGAGCAACAATGAGTGGGACGTTGTTGGAACAGACGCGGGCCTTCCACGAGGAGTGCGAGCGGCTGGAGCGATGCATTGTGCAGGAGCTGCAGAAGGAGACGAAGTCGCACAAGGAGAGGTTGCACCAGAATCACCGTGTCAATAACATGCGCCACGCTATCCTCGACTCCACGGCAAAACTTGTGAGTTTGCTTCTCCTTAAGCTATCAAGTCACAGTCCTATAATGTTACTTCTCTTAGATTGCATTAGTTCAACGTTTTCTCCCGGACGAGTTTTGAACTAGGCGTTCATTCATCGGTGAATGCGAAATGACAGAGTAGTCGACCGGGAGCCACCTTCAAATCGCAAGGAGGGCGAAGCTGGTTGAACGTCTCTCTTTGTGCTCCTACTTCTTAGAAAAAATTCGTTACCACGAAGGTTGAAGACACTTCCACTAGAATCATGACCTAATGCATCGTTTAGGGTTCTGATTTTGAATGAACAAGGGCCTTGCGTGATACGATTATTTGTTTCACAAGAGTAAGCCGTGTATTCAGCGTGATTATAATTATTTGATAAATGCAGGTGGACATTTACGAAGACAAAGATCATGCTCGAGAGGATGAAATTGCTGCTCTTGGAGGTCAAGGTCAAGGCCAGAATTTCTTCACGTCCTTTTACGAACGATTCAAAGAAGTACGTGAAGTCGTTTTTTTTGATCGTTGGCTCGTTGTACAGTTCATTTTTAGAGCCGAGTGTCTGAACCCAAGACATTATTCGGTCTAGAGGTTATGGTGAGGACATCAATGTTTAATCAGGAACTTTTTTTCCCTGGTTGTCGAGTGCAGATAAGGGAATACCACAGGCGACATCCTAGTGTTCGGGAGGCAACTACAGCGGATGATCCTGAAGAGTATCTCAAGGAAGAGCCCTATATTGACTTCAGTGGAGAGGTAGTTTACTGCCGTACCCTCTCATCCATTTACGACAGTGCGGGTAGAAGATGGTGCTTGGAACTGGATTTGATTTATGTTTTAATAATTTCTCAGCTTGGAATAATTTTATTACAAGAGTGTAAGAGCACGTTCACATCTATCAGAAAAGCGTAAAATAATTCCTTTTCCGGTCAAATTGTACACTTCTACTCCTCCAACAGAAAGATGAATGGAAGAAAACTAGACGCGAACTTTCTCGTGCGCTTCTTCAAAATACTTGTTTGAACCAGAGAACATCATTTCCGCCGATGTATATTGTTTTCAGATAGAACGTTGAGTCCTGGCTTGGGCAATCACAGGATGCAGTTCGGAACTTGCTTAGAATAAGTCGTAGGGCATTGTCGCAGTTTGGTGTGGGGATTGGACTAGGTTTTCCTTGACATGTTTGTTTCACATTCAGGAAGCGTATGGAAGATACTTGGATTTGCATGCTCTGTACAATCAATATTTGAACTCCAAGTTTGGGCAGCCATTGGAGTACTCTGCTTTTTTGGACGACTTTTCACAAACACACAAGATCTCACGCAATGTTAAGTTATCTAAGTAAGAGACACTTGTTTTTTTTCGACCTTTCTTGAATTATTGACTTGATCTTATGGCTGTCATGTACTCTCTCAAGTTAAAATTCAATAGCTTGGTACTGGAATTCTTTCCCTTCTAAAATAGTTGACTAACGTTCTGTTCAATCAATCTTTGTATGCCTGTTATGATGAAGAGTAAATGCGTCGTTAACCATACAATGTCTGTGTACTGCAGGCAGTATCAAGACTACCTGAAGTCAATGACAGATTACTTATTGTCATTTTTTGAGCGGACTCAACCCTTACAAGATGTTGACAAAATTTTTGCCAAGGTTAGCGTGCCCCACAATCAAGCGTTCTTTGAATTCAAAATCTCGTTTATAATTGGATTCGAAAATTTCGTTTGTCCACTGTTATCCGATGTTTATGCGGTAATCATTGCCCTCTTTCTACACCCTTCCTGCAGCGCCTACAGTCATTTCTTTGAGTTAGTAGTTTGTGCTGATAACTGTTCATTCTATCTATTGTATGCAGGTTAATGCCGAATTTGAGGAGAGATGGAATGCAGGAACTGTCCAAGGATGGGAAGACAAGGGTTTAGGAACTGAACAGGCCTCCTCCAGATTGCAACCGCTTATTGATGTAGAAGACTATGACAGCGTAGATGAGCTCATGGAGCTTGGCCCCGATCGCCTGAAAGAGGTACATTTGCAGTTCTTTTTTGCCACTTGACAGTAGATCTCGGCAGTTATATTGTGTTTGTAAGAGTCTTATTCTGTTGTGCAGACAGTTCTTCACCTACCGCTTGTATTAAGTCGATCTAGATGTAATCGGCAGGTCATAGATGAACCTGATTTTCTGTGATACAGCTCAACATGTAAATTCCTTTATTGAAGATGAAAGAATTGTTAATATCTTCTTCTATCGTGCATGCTTTATTTTTTTGGATCCTTATTCACATTCTGATACGTTTTGAGGTCTCTTTTAGGCTCTTGCAGCATTGGGTTTAAAAACAGGTGGCACTCCTCGTCAACGTGCGGAGCGTCTCTTTCTTACCAAGGTGAGTGTGAGCTGTATTGTTCATCTGTCATCTTTCATATATATATTTCCATTTTTTCACAGTTACTTCATCTTGGATTAAAGCATAGAAGTTTCTCCTGTAATATAGTTATGATCGCTGTTCAGTTGGGAGTTAAGTCAAATGTGTTTCATCTTCAATTGGTTTTTTAGTGAATTATGATTGGTGTATTTGAACGGCACTGAAGAGTCGATTTGATAGGATCTTGTTCATGTATTTTTGAGTGCTTTGTAGCAGACGTGTGTAATTTTGGGATTTTTCGTGACAGGGAGTTGCATTAGATTCGCTTGACCGTAAGCACTTTCCCAAGGGATATCAACTCCCAATTACGATGAAATCAGAAAAGGAAATTGCACAACAGGTTGCTTCCTCCAAAGCAGTTGCTTTGGCAGAGGTGAAGATGCAGCGTTTGTGTGAGCTTTTGCAGGAGGTAAATACTCTTGGCTTTGGTCCTAACTTTTTCTTTTGAACCGTGTATGTCATGATCCAGTATATTCATGTGTTATGTCACATCATATTATTGCATTTTCATAGTATACGCTGTTGTATTTTTACTCGGGAATTGTCAGGAAACATATTCTGAACACTGGAATTTTACTGATCCAGGCTATTGAGGAAACCAAGTCACACGTAGAGAAAAAGCAAGCTCTAACCTACGAGGAGATGGAAGCTGAGCGGGAAGAGGTATCTTGTTAGATTTGTCCAATCTGTCTCTTTGGTCGTTTTTCTGACTCATTTCTGTGTAGCTGTAAGTTAAACTTATTGGAAAGCGTTTTCTGTACTTACTGTGAAAACCTGTTTCCTTGGAATGTTTATGAGAACAGGAAGAAGTGGCACAAGAAAGTGAAAGTGAAGATGAGGAACAGGCAATCTATAATCCTCTGAAGTTACCAATGGGATGGGATGGGAAACCCATTCCTTATTGGCTTTACAAATTGCATGGACTTGGACAGGTAATATTATTGTTCCCGCTGGCCCCGAGTAGTCTCGGCCTGAAACTTTGACCCAAATAGCTATTTTAATTTAAAATAAATGAAGTTAATAAGGAAGAGCGTTATTTTCACCAGTTTTCATGTAGATGTCAAATTCTTGAAACTTCCTGTTATAAATCCCCTGAAACCGCTGGCTTCGTACACATTTTAAGACGCTTGGCCGTAGAAATGAATTTCGGTTCTGCAGTGTAGGACCATCTCTTTTTTCTCGCAGCTTTGCACCTGGATTGACGAGTGATAATTTTCAGGAGTTTAAATGTGAGATATGCGGCAATTATAGCTATTGGGGTCGACGGGCTTTTGAACGACACTTCAAGGAATGGAGACATCAGCATGGAATGCGTTGTTTGGGTATTCCAAATACGAAAAACTTCCACGAGATTACATCCATCAAAGTACGTCCCGATGTAACACAGTTTGTTAAAGTAACCGCTATCTGCAGGTTTCTCTAAGAATTGTTCATTTAGTGCTGTTGATTGTCTTGTAGTTTGTGCCAAGTGTACCTTCGAAATGCTTCTTTGTGTTTTTTGTGTTACTAGTTCGAGTGCATTGGATCATGCAGTGCAGTCTTTGTTGATGAGGTTTCTCTAGTCGTTTTGATGATTTTGGTTCCTCCTGTTGCTCACGAAAGATTATTATGTAAAATAGATACCTTCATATATGGTTTGCTGTGAATCTATTTTTGATCTGTTCTGGTTCTGTGGAACCAGGATGCAAAAGCTCTCTGGGAAAGGATTCAAGAGAGGCAAGGAGTCAACAAGTGGCGTCCTGATCTAGAAGAAGAATATGAAGACCTTGATGGGAATGTATACAACAAGAAGACTTTCTCTGATTTACAACGACAAGGGCTAATTTGAGTCACCTGTCAGTAAGCTTTTATTGTTGGCGATTTAATATTTCAATGCTGAAACGACCGCCATTCCAGTGAAGTGGTCTCAAGGACAAGCTATATTCCCAGTTGCTTGCTTCTCGAAAAATCTGTGCAACGGCAGGTGCTGCAGTAGAGCACAAGCTATTACTTTCTGAGCTGGGTTTCTGTCCTCAGAAGCTTAGGAGGGAGTCTCACCACTTCCGAAGGTTCTTGTCATGTTTTTCTTGAAACTGTGGATGCTTTATGAGGATTTTAAGATCGGAACGTCCACAGGGAGCAGCCTAGTCGGTATTAGATGGTGGGTTTAATGTTTTGTGTTTGATTGTTCGCTCTAATCTATGCAGTTGTAAAGTAGCATGATCTGCCGGAAGTGACGTCGAAAGTATTTGGTTCCCCTACTTTCGTACAAAGTAAAATTCACGTGCTTTTTGAAAAGATAGGTTTTTCTTTGAAGGGTTCTCAGGATTGTGTAATTAGCGAGAAGGTTCCGGGGTGAGGACCATCTGGTCACCCATGTTTCTGCCACGAGCGTTATGGTAGTGAGGGAGTAATTAACTTGCTTCACAGTATCAGCTGGACGAGCCAGAACGGGGGTGAAGGCGTACAACAGTCGCTGGTATCCCGTGTTACCTCACATCACTCGCATAGAGCATCCTTTCTGTTTACTAGCCTTGCAGATAGCGGGGGGCCTTATCAACCCGAACAGCTCGTGAATCGCTGCACCCTATCTTATCACTGCGACCTAGGAGACAGCCAATCGATCACCCGTGTGGGGAACCCTCACGTCTTTTGCAATGATGGGATGATTTGAAATTCGGAATATTTCAGCAATCATTTTGAGCTGTCCACCATGAATTGAAGGGGCCAGAATAATTTCAATTGATTTCGATATTTCGAAATTTGCTCTCTACCTGTACAAGTCCCTGGCTGACTTTTTCTTTAAATCAGACACTCATAAGAATTACCACACTTTTGTATGTATTCCGAAAGTAAGTTCAGGGAAATAAATCGTCAAGGTCCTATTTGCTTGGAGTTTAGGACCAACCCTTGCTGCTACAGTCCAAGGTAGACTGCTATTGCCCTCACAGTGCAGATCCTTTTAAGACCCAGAAAAGCCGCAAACAGTAGATTGCATCATTTAAGACTCCAAACATTAAAAGCATGCCCTCCTTCCCCCACCTTATTCAATATAGGATACCCACCTGCCAATCAAGCATCAGTCCCTCTCCAGAAAACAAACAGACAAAACCATTGTGGTGGTGTAACTACACTGGAAGTGTTTGGTAGTGATCGTCTCTTTTCGCTCAGTTGCAGGGGTAAAGACAAAGAAACGATCACCATGTACATCCCCCATCTCTCTGCTTTCTGGTCAAAAGGAGTCACAATAACAAGTAGGATCACGGAGGAATTTTCTGTAGGGGAGGGGAAGGGGGGGGGGGAACCCATGAGCATTGTGCTTGTAGCAGGAGCGAAAGGAACAAAAAGCCTTTAAGGCGCCTTGCCGTTCTGGAACACAATAAACTACAATGGGCCGGGCAAGGTGGCATCATTGAGAAGAAAAAGACTGCACCCCAACCTAAGAGGCTCTTATTTCTTATTTTGTCTTGTATTGTTTGACATTATCTGAGAAGCCTTGCCCTGATAGCAATGAGGATAAAATGCTGAGTCGAATTGCTCACTCCTACTCAACTTTGTTCTCCATGTCTCATCTGCTCTTTGGGTTTGGTCATGCCTCAAGCCAAGCCTTCACTGCATGTTATTCTTTTTGGTCTGTTAATGAAACCCATGTTGGCTAGGTTTGAATAAAACTATTCATAGGCTTTGTTTTATGGTCCTTTAGGATTTGAGTAGTGGTATTTTTTGCAATAATAAGTAGACATGTAGATGAAATTTTTTTGACCTTTTGTATAACTTTTGCCACAATAGAATATAGAAGAAGTCAAAGCAAAACAAAAGAATATGTTTTCAAACTCAATAGTTAGACTTCAACAAATTAAGTTCCTTACAATGTAATATTGTTTTTGGAGCTTGTTGTAGATAAAAATTACTTTGTTAATAAAATCTTGATGTTAGTGCCATTAAGATTGAAATTATATATATATATATATAGTGTTTCACAAATATATTATTTAATTTTATACTTTTGAAAATATATAAATATTTTTTAATCAATAGTTTATGGTTATAAATACAAATTTGATAGTAGCTATAGAATAATAAATTATTTAATTGGATAAATTAATTTGATATTAAATTAAAATTATTTTTATTATTTATTAAAAAAATCTTGCATACAAGTGAATAAGCTAAAAATTCAAATAAGATGAATAATAAGAATAAAATGAGCTAGTTATTTTAAAAAATATTAAAAATAAATATTTATATTTATATTTATTGAGAAATTATAGAAAAATAAATAAAATTATATTTTGGATATAGATTAATATTAATCTATTATTAAATAAGAAGTTTCAACTTATTTTTTTACATGCCCAAGGTATATTCTTACATAGGGACTTCTACAACTTATCTTCTAAACATCATGACATATATTATATTTTTAAGATTTTTATTTGTATTTTTTTTAGATGTTTGATTTTAGAAGTATACTAAGGATATAAGATGCTACAAAAGAAGATTTTAAAAAACTCTAGATATTTGAAAAAAAATCATAAGTAAAAACATAAAAAATATTTATATATATATTTCTAATAATAAAATTCTTATTAAAATTTAAAAATTCTAATAGTCGAAATTAATATTAGATGCCATCAAGAAAGAGTTTTGAATTTATTATACCATTTGTGCTAAATATTTTATATTAATAAGACTCTAACATGTATATTTTAAAATATTCTAAAAAAATTCTTTAATGGTTAGGATTTATATCCAAAATAATAACCTAAATAAAAAATATATGTCTTAATTTATTTATAATAATATTTATTTAAATATGAAAATAAAGAGTTATAAATATTTAAATTAATAAAAAAATAATAATTCTTAAATATTAGAGCTTGGGCTTAACATTTGTATATGGAATCGGATTTAAAAATATTCTAAAGAATATTATGTCTTTAGTTCTTAGAAGTCATATAGGCCTTAGTTATATGAGCCTCTTGAAAATTACTTCCATATGCATTGAGAATGGTAATACTTTTGTAAGTATATTTTTGATTTTTTAAAAAAATTAAGGAATTCTGGTATATATATATATATATATATATATATATATATATATATTTCTTTTAAATTTTAATAATAGTATGTAAATGATCTAGATGTACTCAAAGAAAAAGTATCTATTTATATAGCTAATATATATTTAATTATATTATTATATTTATTTTGAATATTATAATTTATTATAAAAAAATTCAATATTTTAAATCTATTTCAGTTTATATGTATTTGAAATATGTCTTAAATCTAAATTGGTCCAATAGAACAAAAATGTATAGGTTTTTTTGTAGATATGTTTTAATTCTTCAAATTTAATTATATTTAAATAAATTCATATTATTAAAGTTATCTCAAATATTTTATGATGGTTTATTTTTCATAAATAATCAACATATATATATATATATATATATATATATATATACACATACATACAAACATACATACATACATACATACATACATACATACATACATACATACATACATACATACATACATAATTTTTTTGGCTCAATTCAATATTCTTATAATATTGAAGACGTATTCATAACTTCCTATCAACATCCATGTATTTTTTTTTCTTTTTTTTCCAAATAATGTTTAAATTATATCAGATAATTATTTATTTATTATTATATAGCATTTTTACATGTAATAAGTTTAACTAATACACAATCAAGGAAAGATTAGAAATCAAACGTAAACTAATGATTTCTAATCAACTAATTAATAAATTTATTAATAAGCTATATTTATATTTTTCTAAATTTTCATAATATTTACATATTATTTCAATCTATAATGATATATATATTTTTGAAAAAAAAAATATGTGTATTGTATGTTAGATAAATTTTTATATATATTTTGAGACTAAATTAATTTATAAAATTATTTTATAAAAGTTTATTGCTATAGTTCTATATATATTTTATGCTTCTAAAGTAAAATAATTTTTATGTTACAAATTTTATAGAGATTTATATTGTAGAACAAATTCTTTTTTACAACCTTTTGTTATGTATAAAAAGATCATTACACACAACACATTGAGTGCTACAAATCAATTACTAAATATATAGTTTATACCAATAACAAATGCACAACCAATACACAATTAAGGAAAGATTAGAAATCTATACCAAACTAAGTCAAATTATCTCTTATATCACAAAGGGAGAATCCAAGAGTGAAAAAGTGAAAATAGAAAACATCCTAAGCTTTATTAAAATGGCTAAATTACCATAGCCAAGCAAAACTTTGTAATAAATTTTTTCTCTTTCAAAAATCATTTATAAGACTTGACTTGATAAGAATATGAAGTCAAGGGTTTTTTCCACTTAAGTATCTAAATCTTAGTTGACATTAACAAAGTGAATTAATGAAAAAAGTCTCAATGGATGAAAAACCACTAATTTAACTTAACTACATACATTTGATGAAATTTGGCACCTAATGCCACATCATATGATAGCTATCATATAAACAAAGATCATTACATATAATACCTTGAGTACTACAAATCAATCACAAAGTATGTAATGTAAACTAATAACAAATGCACAACCAATACACTTTTAAGTGCCTCCTTTAGCTGATTAGGAATCCCTTCAGTCAACTAAGATTACAAAATACATATTATTTCAGATAAATGCTATAATAATATTATTGCCAAACCGTACTCTTCCAAATTAATATTGTAGTAGCTAGACCACCAAAGTATGTGATGAATACAATAGAAAAAATCTTCAATCTTTATCAATAGATGAAGCTTAGTTAGAAGACTTCTTACAATAAAGACACATCCAATCTCTTGAAGGGAGAATCAAAAGAAGTAGCGTTAAACATTCCATATGCTACCTATGTTGATATTAATCATACAAAAGCATGGTAGTAGCTCCTTTCTTCTCACCACATACAAAACAAGGACGACCAATTGACACAACCGATAATTTAAGATGTTTAAAATCATCAATAAGTAGATGATAAGAAATACAATTTTTTGAATGCTCTTGATACTCTTGTCTATTCTTGCTTTCCAATAACAAAATATCATTAGACAATACATCTTTTATTTGTAGAATTATACACCTTGTCTTAACATCAAATATTGCAGACACCTCATATTACAAATATTCATGATTTCTTTAGAAAATCTATGCTATTGAGGTTGATAAGCTCTATTACAAATCCAAGTATATTATAAAGTATTATAATATTGAGCCATAGATAACTTCTTTATAGCTATAGACATGGCCTATTTAAAAAATTCTATTCAATTGTGTAGAAATTGAGTCCAAACATCATGATCATCTAAATCTAAAATTGAAGTTATCTTCTTATATATTGTGCTAGATAGAATTGGCTTCTGACTATACAACAATTGATAAGGACTACAAGATATCAAAGACGTGTGTCTATTAGATCAAAGTCCATTGCAATCCATAATAACGTCAAATTTTAATCACAATGGTTGCCATGAAGTAATCTATACTTCCATAAACCATGCTTGATAGTTTGAACAATTTGTTTAGTAAAGCCATCTACCTCAAGATGATTTTTAGAGATGGTACAATAATATATTAAAGCTTTAATATATAAAGCTTCAAATATCTTAAAGAAATTTTTTCTTTGATTTTTTAAGACTTCAATAAGTGCTTCAAAATATG